CGGGCCGGGACGAGCAGCGGCGGCGCCGGGCGCAGCCCCCCAGCGCCAAGGCCTCCGAGTGCCGCCGCGCCTTCGGGGCGCCCCCCGAGTGCTGAGCCCCCCGGCCCCCGAGGCCTGGACGGGAGAGGGACCCCGAAGTGGGACAGGATCAGAGAGAGAGACCCCCGGGAGCCCCCCAGAGCGCCTGGACCAGAGAGAGAAACCCCTGGAACCCCAAAATGGGACAGGATCAGAGAGAGAAACCCCAAAATGCGCCAGGACCGGAGAGAGAGACCCCGAAATGGGACAGGACGGGAGAGAGAAACCCCAAAATGCACCAAGATGGGAGAAGGCAACCCCAGGAGCCCCCCAAAATGTGCCACGGCGGGAGAAAGAAACCCCCAGGAACCCCAAAATGTGCCAGGATGGGAAAAAGAACCCCCCAAAATGGGACAGGATGGGAGAAGGGACCCCCAAAATTGGATGGGAACGAGCCCCGAAGTGGGGAAGGGACCCCCGGGATGGGGAGGGGGCTGAGGTGGGGAATGGGACCCCCAGGACCCCCCTCAAATGCTCCAGGGTGGGGGGAAAGGATCCCAAGGGACCCCCAGGACCCCCTCAAATGCTCCAGGGTGGGAATGGGACCCCCAGAACCCCCCCAGGGTGGGGAGCAGAGCCCCCCGCCCCCCCCCAGGCTCACGGCTACCCCAGGAGGCAGAAGGGACCCCCAGGACCCCCCTCAAATGCCTCAGGATGGGGAAAGGACCCCCAGGACCCCCCTCAAAATGCTCCAGGGTGGGGGGAAAGGATCCCAAGGGACCCCCAGGACCCCCCTCAAATGCTCCAGGGTAGGGAAGGGACCCCCCTCAAATACCCCAGGAGGCAGAAGGGACCCCCAGGACCCCCCTCAAATGCCTCAGGATGGGGAAAGGACCCCCAGGACCCCCCTCAAAATGCTCCAGGGTGGGGGGAAGGTGGGGAATGGGACCCCCAGGACCCCCCTCAAATGCTCCAGGGTAGGGAAGGGACCCCCCTCAAATACCCCAGGAGGCAGAAGGGACCCCCAGGACCCCCCTCAAATGCCTCAGGATGGGGAAAGGACCCCCAGGACCCCCCTCAAAATGCTCCAGGGTGGGGGGAAAGGATCCCAAGGGACCCCCAGGACCCCCCTCAAATGCTCCAGGGTGGGAATGGGACCCCCAGAACCCCCCCAGGGTGGGGAGCAGAGCCCCCCGCCCCCCCCCAGGCTCACGGCAGGGGGCTTTGGTGGCCACTGAAGGGGTTTGGTGGCCATTGAGGGGTTTGGTGGCCATTGAGGGGGTTTGGTGGCCATTGAGGGGTTTGGTGGCCATTGAGGGGGTTTGGTGGCCATTGAGGGGTTTGGTGGCCATTGAGGGGTTTGGTGGCCACTGAGGGGGTTTGGTGGCCACGGGGGGTGTTTGGTGGCCATGGGGGGGGTTCGGGGCCGCCCCCTCCCCTCGCACTGTGCAATAGCAGCCCCCGCCCCAGGGGCCTGTAAATAAAAGCTGCTGCGGTATTTTCCCCGCTGCCTCCGGGAGGATTTGTTTCATTTTGGGGCGTTCTGAGGGTGCGGAGCCCCCGGGAGCGGCCGTGAGGGGAGCTGAGGCCGGGGCCGCCATCTTGGGCCCTGGCACGGCCCGGGGCTGCCCTCAGGCCGCCATCTTGGATCCTGGCACGGGCCGTGAGGCCTCGCTGGAGCCGAGCCCCGCCTCGCCGGGCACAGGGGGGGTTCTGCCCGGTGTACCGGAGCCGGAGCTCCCCCCAGAGCCGCGCGCGGCCTCGCACCGGCGCCACGTGAGGCGGAACCGGGCCGGTGCTAGGCCCGGGGCAGGTACGGCGGCTGCCAGGGGTCAAAATTCCCCCGCGCGGCGGGGGAGAAGCCGCGCGCCGCCACCGCGCGCCGCTCGCGGTGCCCGGATGTTCAGACTCGGGGACCCATTAAAGGCGCCCCGCGGGGAAGCTCGGCGCGTTTCTATTGGTGCAGCGGGACGTCAATCTTCGCCGAGACAGCCAGTAAAATCCAGGAGGCGGGCTAAGAACGGATCGCAGCGATCCTATTGGTGCGATCTCATGCCAGTCTGCCCTCCCCACCAATGGGCGTCGCGGCTGGGGTCGGGAGGCGGGGCGGGCGCGGCGGCGGCGGCGGCCAATCAGCGGCATTGTTTGTGGTGGTGCCGGTTGCGCTCGGCGGCGGCCGCGTCTGCTCCGCCCGCCCGGCCCGGGACCCCCGGGACCCCCCGGGACCCGCCGGGACCCCCCGGGAACCCACGGGAACCCACCGGGACCCCCCGGGAGCCCGCCGCGCCCCCCCGCGCCTTGGGGGGGATGAGGGCGGATTTGGGGGGCTGAGGGCGGATTTTGGGGGGCTGAGGGCAGCAGCAGAGTCCGAGGGGCTGCGGGCGGTCCGGGCTGAGCTCTGGGGGCGCGGGGCTCGGTTTGGGGGGCTCAGCCCGAGGGGGTGGGCGGCGGCGGAGCTGCGGTGTGGGGGCACAGCTCGGGTCTGGGGGGCACAGCTCGGATCTGGGGGGCAGAGCCCCGGGATTTGTGGGGGTAGATCTCGGAGATTTGGGGGGAGCAGAGCCCCGGGATTTTTGGGGGCAGAGCTCAGATTTTGGGGAGCAGAGCTGAGGGATTTTGGGGGACAGAGCTCGGGTTTAGGGGAGCAGAGCCCCGGGATTTGTGGGGGCAGAGCTCGGAGATTTGGGGGGAGCAGAGCTGAGGGATTTTGGGGAGCAGCACTCAGGGATTTTGGGGAGCAGGGCCAGAAGAATTGGGGGCACAAAGCAGACAGATCTGGGGAGGTGAAGAGCTCGGATTTTGGGGAGCAGAGCTCGGGGATTTGGGGAGCAGAGCTGAGGGATTTTGGGGAGCAGAGCTCGGGGATTTGGGGAGCAGAGCTCAGATTTGGGGCGCAGCCTGACAAGTTGGTGGGGGCAGAGCTCGGGAATTTTGGGGGGCAGTGCTCAGGGATTTTGGGGAGGGGCAGAGCCCGGATTTTTGGGAGCAGAGCCCGAGAGGTTTTGGGGGCACAAAGCAGATGGATCTGAGGGGGCAGAGCTCAGGGATTTGGGGCAGAGCTCAGGAATTTTGGGGAGCAGCGCTCACATTTGGGGGGGGCAAAGCTCAGATTTTGGGGAGCAAATCACAGGGATTTTGGGGGGCAAAGCTCAGATTTTGGGGGGCAAAACTCAGGGATTTTGGGGAACAGAGCTCAGGAATTTGGGGAGTCGAGCTGAGGAAATTTGGAGAACAGAGCTCAGATTTGGTGGGGAGCAGAGCTGAGGGATTTTGGGGGGCAGAGCTCAGATCTTGGGGAGTAGCACTCAGGGATTTGGGGGAGCAGCACTCAGGGATTTAGGGGAGCAGCACTCAGGGATTTTGGGAGCAGCACTCAGGGATTTTGGGAGCAGCACTCAGGGATTTTGGGAGCAGCACTCAGGGATTTTGGGAGCAGCACTCAGGGATTTTGGGAGCAGCACTCAGGGATTTTGGGAGCAGCACTCAGGGATTTTGGGACAGAGCTGAGGGATTTTGGGGAGCAGCACTCAGGGATTTTGGGGAGCAGGGCCAGAAGAATTGGGGGCACAAAGCAGACAGATCTGGGGAGGTGAAGAGCTCGGATTTTGGGGAGCAGAGCTCGGGTTTAGGGAGCAGAGCTCGGGGTTTAGGGGAGCAGAGCTGAGGGATTTTGGGGAGCAGAGCTCGGGGATTTGGGGAGCAGAGCTCAGATTTGGGGCGCAGCCTGACAAGTTGGTGGGGGCAGAGCTCGGGAATTTTGGGGGGCAGTGCTCAGGGATTTCGGGGAGGGGCAGAGCCCGAGAGGTTTTGGGGGCACAAAGCAGATGGATCTGAGGGGGCAGAGCTCAGGGATTTGTGGGGAGGGGCAGAGCCCGGATTTTTGGGAGCAGAGCCCGAGAGGTTTTGGGGGCACAAAGCAGATGGATCTGAGGGGGCAGAGCTCAGGGATTTGGGGCAGAGCTCAGGAATTTTGGGGAGCAGCGCTCACATTTGGGGGGGGCAAAGCTCAGATTTTGGGGAGCAAATCACAGGGATTTTGGGGGGCAAAGCTCAGATTTTGGGGGGCAAAACTCAGGGATTTTGGGGAACAGAGCTCAGGAATTTGGGGAGTCGAGCTGAGGAAATTTGGAGAACAGAGCTCAGATTTGGTGGGGAGCAGAGCTGAGGGATTTTGGGGGGCAGAGCTCAGATCTTGGGGAGTAGCACTCAGGGATTTGGGGGAGCAGCACTCAGGGATTTTGGGGAGCAGCACTCAGGGATTTTGGGAGCAGCACTCAGGGATTTTGGGGAGCAGCACTCAGGGATTTGGGGGAGCAGCACTCAGGGATTTAGGGGAGCAGCACTCAGGGATTTTGGGAACAGCACTCAGGGATTTGGGGAGCAGCACTCAGGGATTTTGGGGCTCAGCGCTTTGGGGGAGCCCCGGGGATTCCCCGCCGAACGGGGCAGTGGCGGCGTTCCCGGGGGTCCCGCTGGGATGTCGGGGGGCGGCCACCGGGCCCCCCCTTTGTTCCGTCGCTGCGTGCGGGGCTTGCGGCGCCTCCGGCTCCTTCCCCGCCGTTCCCCGCTCCGTTCCCCGCCGTTCCCGTTCCCCGCCGTTCCCCTCCAGGATTTCCGCCCCGCGGGATTCTCGCTCCGTTCGTGCCGCCTCCCTCGCTCCGGTGCCGCTTCCCCAGCTCGGATCAAAACTTGGGCATCCCCGGGCAGGAGCGGGGCAGGAAGGAGCGGGGCAGGAGCGGGGCAGGAGCGGGGCAGGAGCGGGGCAGGAACGGGGCAGGAAGGAGCGGGGCAGGAAGGAGCGGGGCAGGAGGGAGTGGGGCAGGAGCGGGGCAGGAGGGAGTGGGGCAGGAGCGGGGCAGGAGCCGCCCGAGCCGCCCCCGCGCCGGGTTTTGGGTGGGATCGGGCCGGGAGCCCCGCGGGGGAGGAGGGGCACGGACCCCCCCTCATTTAGGAACTGGATCCCCTCCCGCAGGAGGTCCCGGAGGATTCCTCCTCGCAGGGATGAAGGAGAACCCCTCCCCACATCCCAAACTGAGGCGTTCTGGGCGCTCTCCCCTCCCCGGAGCCTGGAGAAGGGATCCGTGATGGCGGGGGGAGGGGGCGGCTGCCGGGAACGGAGGAGGAGGAGATTTGGGAATCGATTCCAGTGCCTTTTTCATTTTATTTTAAATTTTACTTGACCATCCAT